CTCTCTCTCTCTCGCTCTCTCTCTCTCTCTCTCTCTTTCATATCATTGTTGGTAGTTAGTTCCCTACTGGAAAAAAAAATTCTTATAACAAGTAGGAATAGTTAAGCAAAACGAATACATATGCTGACCTTGTCCAGAAATGATTGTCCCAATCTACACTCGAGTCCCCACCCCCACCCCCCACACACAACTCACTGTCAGGTAGATCCTGTGTACCTTTCCAGCTACATTCTCTGTTCCAGTCAAACTGGTCTGTTAGCTGTTTCCTGAATGTGACATTCCATCACCATCTCCCTGTGGTTTGTCAGAAGTGGTTCCCTATGTCTGCAATAGTCTCCCTTCTCACTTCAGCTGTGTACAGTACCTGACTTCCTTTCAAAATACAACTGAGGTGTGCTTTCAGTGAATGAATAGAATTTTTGAAGTGCTGGCTATGTGATAAGTACTGTGCAAGATGGTGGACATACAAATAGAAAATTGAGACAGACCCTGCCCTCAAGAAGCTTACATTCTACTGTGAGGCCTATCTTGAGTTCTCTCTCTCTCTCTCTCTCTCTCTCTCTCTCTCTCTCTCTCACACACACACACACACACACACACACACACACACACACACGCTCACTTTGTATTTATTTACCCTGGCAAAGTCACTCAACCTCTAAATGCTCAAGGCAGCTCTTGAAGAAAGGAAGCTGCAGATGCTCTGCTTCAGTAGTTTCCTCAAGAAATAAGATCATTTTGCTAGTTCATTTCTACTACTTTTTGGGTGTTTATCTGTCCTGTCTGTGCATCTGCCACTGGTTCAGCTGAATTCAGCAAACATTTATTACTCTCTTTTGTGTTCAGGGCATTACCTTAGATGCTGAGAAGGGGGGTAAAAAGACAAAAAATTACAGACCCCACTATCAGGGAGCTTGGGTTTTTCTGGAGGAAATAGGACATGTGTATAGCATAGAGGACAAAGACAAGATGTAGGAAATTTGAGGAGCTAAAGATAACAGGCAAGGCTTTTTTCATGGAAGAAATGGTACCTCAGATCAGGTACCATTAAAGAAGAGAAAGAGTTGGACGAGGGAAGGACAGGGTGCTCATACTAGGCATTCATGGGGTGGGGAGGAGTGGGAGAAGACATTTCAGTCAACCTATGTGGAGAATGCACAGAGGCTGGAGGCAGCAGTTCTAGTTGGAGAGCAGTTTAAAGTCCCTGGTAGCCAGACTGCAGAGAATGTGAAGGAAACTAAGGTGAAATAAGGCTAGAAAGGGGAGTTAGAGAGCATAGTACCTTGTACATAGTAATAAAGGTTTATTGAATTGAGTTGGATGGGAGCCAGATTATGGAAGTAACTTTATATTATATCTAATAGGAAATCACTGGATGTTTATGAGCAAGAAAGTGTCTGAGTCAGACCTATCCATTAAGAACTGAAAATGACAAGGAAAGAATTTTATTTGGGGGTAAATGAGTTCAACTCTATAGCCTATTTATCACTGGGAAGAGGAACCTCGAGGCCAGGCTCTTCGTATTGGTGCTTAGGTGAGAGATGCTATGGCTTCCAGTAGTAAGTACCTCACTGAAAAGACATGTGCTAACTTGTGGGTGCCAGAAATGTCCTTGAGCACATGGGAATCCTTTCTATTCTGGTATGTAAGCTACCAGTAAAAGGTGTAGGAGCAAAAACATACTTAGAAAATTGCAAGAGCTAAACACCAAGTATGTAATTGTGGGCCTTTTGTTCCTAAGTGACCTCCCTTGATCAACTCCTTATACACAGAATGAAAGAATTTATTCTAGCATTTTGTTGTTTTTCTTTCTTTCTTTTAGGCAATTGGGATTAAGTGACTTGCCCAAGGTCACACAGCTAGTAAGTGTCAAGTGTTGGGTCTGAGGCCGGATTTGAACTCAGGTCCTCCTGACTTCAGGGTCGGTGCTCTATCCACTGTGCCACCTAGCTGCCCCCACTAGCATTTTGTTCTTTTAGTTGGATTGGGGCTTTCAGGTACTTATCTTAAGAAAGGTTTGCTTTCTAACATATTGATTTCTCCCTTTCCCTTGCTGTTCAACCCCCACCCGAAAAAAAATGTCCAGACTACCTTAGTATTCTCTTCTCACAAGGTCATTCATAGCAAAAAGCACTTGAATGAATGTTGTGAGGAATATATCAAGAGCATTTTTAAAGACTAAGGATTTGTAGACCACCAACATTCAACAAATGTTTAAGCATCTACTATGTTTGAGGTTGGGGGATGGGGTGGAATGTGTCCTGCCCTCACAGAGCTTTCTAGCTGAATAGGGAGCAACCACACAAACAAATATATCATACTTTGCATTGGATGAGATCATAATAATTGTAAAGCGCTTAGCCCAGTGCCCAGTACATAGTAAGTCCTACATAATGTTGGCTATTGTTATTGTTATTAAGTGTATTAGGTACAAGGGAAAAAATGATGCATGAGATCTGAGGGGAAAGATCTTGACTGATTGAAGTGGTTCTAGGAAGGCTTCATAGAAGAGGTGGCATTTTGAGTTGGGTTTTAAGAGTAACATAAGTGAAGGAGATTGTGGAGAGGGAAGAAGAGGACATCTTATGGGGAACACTGTGAGCAAAGGCATATGGTGGGAGATATTTTACATTTTAATAGGTTCTAGAGGTGCAAGGGCCTTAGAGATCATCTAGTGCAATCTCTCCCTTTGCAAATGTAGCAGCTGAGTACCAGAGAGGTTAAGTAAGATTGCATGCACATGGCCAGTAAATAGAAGAGCTGGAATTTGAACCAAGGCCGTTTGACTCCTAGTGTTTTTTTCCTCTACATTCTTCCTGCCCTCATTTGTGAAAAAGAACTCTCTGTGACTACAGCAAGTATGAGAGTGACCCACTAAGGCCTTGAGTCTCCATGATGCATATAGAAATGTGGTTTTGTAATTCTGTGAAGAAAATAAGGTGAACTGCCATGAAATGTAATTATACAATCTCAGAGAGCAAAACGACTTTCAAATATGTTAAATGCAGTGTTACCTATATTATAAGAGTGGTATCAGTCGGACTAGCTACAGCCTTGCTATGGCAGACTTTTCCTCTGTGTAGTTATATTTCAGGGGATATCGTTTTACCCAAAGTATACCCACATTGATGTAATCAATCCTGGTTATCAAATATTGGCTTGGACTGTCTTACGTGACAAGATTTTCTTATGGAAAGAAAATTTTCATTACCATGCTTTCTATTTTCTCTTCTTCATTACCATGTAACCTATATTAAAGATAAAATGTATTGACATGAATGACATACTCCTAAAGAGTATGATAACACGAACTCAGTTACTTTTAATGGAGAAGAGAAATTCCTTTCCCCTCAGTGAGTAACAGAGGTGTTCCCTGGGTCAGAGTTTCAGAGGGAAGGGTGTGTGCCAGTGTGGGGTGGGGGTGGGGTGGGGGAGTATAAATCTAAGATAGTATTTTCTTATTTTCTTTCTTGGCTTTTGTTAGTACTTGGTGCTGTTGTTCAGTCGTTTCTGTCATTCGTGACCCCAGTTGGTGTTTTCTTGGCAAAGATACTGGAGTGGTTTGCCATTTCCTTCTCCATGTGAGGAAACTGAGGCAAACAGGGTTAAAGGACTTGCCCCAGGTCAAACAGCTAGTAAGTATCTGAGACCAAATTTGAACATCTTCCTGACTCCGGGGCTGGCTCTCTATCTACTGTACTACCGAGCTGCCCCCCATTAGTACTTATGCTTAAGAGAAAACTATTTCTTGCATTCTCTTGGGAGAAAGGAATATAATCCAGGCATTTCTATGTTAGCTATTATGAAATTTAAATATCTAAAATGCTTTTCAAAAATCCTTATATTTTAACCTATGATCATTCATTTAGAGCTGGAAGAGACCATCAAAGGCCATCTCTTCCAACCCCCCCTTATTTTACATATGGGAAAGCCAAGACTCAGAATTTGTGTCTTTTCCATAGTCACCCAGATGTGGGATTTGAACCTAGGTCTTCTAGCTCCAGCTCTGTCATACTATCCATTAGACTATACTACTTTTCTAAGCCATAATTGCCTGCTTCTTCAATTCAAAGGGCATGAGTGGAATATTCAAGTATTCGAATCTATTTTCTGTAATTAAAAGGTACATTTGTATTTTCAGTTCTTCACTTATTTTGGGTAATTCATATTAGGAAATATGAAATATGACAGCTTAGATTCTTCAACCATCTGGGCCTCCATTTTGCTGTGGGTCCTTAACCTTTCAAAGAGGTTCTATTCTTATCAGTGCTGTAGAGGATAGGGCACTGATCTTGAAGACTCACATTCGAGTTCTGACGTTTAGTTTTGTAACCCTGAGCATGTCCTATCATCTTCCTGTATTTCAATTCTGCCACCACCACTCCCTTAATCCCCACAAGACAGGCATAATACCTATCTACTTCATAGGAATATTTTGAGGGAAAAAAAAACTTTGCAAACTTTCACACCCTAAAGAGATATTTATTATGTGGTATTATTTCCTTAACCCTTCTGTCTGTCTCATCATTTGCAAGGTAGAAATAATCATATTTACTCTCCTTACCACACAGGGTTATTGGGATGCCCAAATTAGATGTAAAAGCGATGTTAAATGTTAGGAAGAGATACAGATTGGATCTATGATTTAATTGATTTAGGGAGCTTGCAGCGATTGACTCTTTCTGTAGTCTTAGAGAGTTGCATAAGTCACTGAAAGGTTAAAAAACAGAACAAAACAACTTGCCCAGTGTCACCTAGTCAGTATGTGTCAGGTACAAGGCTTAAATTAGCCTTTTCTGGCTATATGACCAACTCTATAAAGTACTGTGCAAATGTAGATACTTTAAAGAACTGGTGATTTCATCTCTTCGTAATCCCTCCTTATCCCCCCCCCAAAAAAAGAAATGCATATGGGTTGCCTTTTTGCTATTGTTATTCTTACCAAATGGCCAAAAATAACGCAAGTCTGATTCGGCCTAATGAAATGTTTTCTTCCTCAGTGATGCTACAGCCTTTCGATTATGATCCTAACGAGAAAAGTAAACACAAGTTTATGGTTCAATCTATGTTTGCTCCGACTGACACCTCAGATATGGAAGCAGTAGTAAGTACTGAATACATCTCTTTCTCTTTTTTTTTTTTCAGGAATTAAATAAAACTGCCTAGGCTCAGATTTGTATCTGCAGTCTTCAAAAAAAATAAATCAAATAATAAATCAAAAGTCATTTAGGTATGAGTGATATTTTCATAGTTTTTAGATTGTTTTTCTAGTATTTCCTAAAATCTATCATTTTTTATCTGCCCCCCTAAAAAAACAGTGTGGGGAGCCCCATAGACCCTGGCAGTTTGAATGGGCTTTTCATTTTTCTCCATCAAGAATCTAGGGACCTAAGCTTTTTCAATTTTATCTCAACCCTCCAATTTTGTTTTCACCATAATAACCACATATTTAACTGTCTCTCTTTTTTGAATAAGGATGTAGTAGCAAATAACTTCACAAATTCACGAGGGAAAATGGGATGATGGGTCTTTGTAGTCCTGGAGGGACTCCCCTTAAAAAGAAATTTATATGATAACTTTATTCTGTATTTAAAAGGAATAGCAAGTTGTACATAATAGATTTGCAGTTTCATATGCAATCATCTTTTTTGTTACACTATATTATGGGGAGAAAAAAGAAAGAAAGAAAGAAATCATCCATGGGATCTGAGCACATTACCTAATAAAAGACAGACTTAGTACCTAAGAAATGAGAAGACACTCACATAGACAGGTGCCATTCTGTCTACACATTTGGAAAAAAAAGGAGGGGTGAAGAGTTACAGCTTATAAAAGGGAGATCCTCATTCAAGGGAACAAAATGTAATTGAAGAGGGCAATCCCTTTAGAAGGGGACATCTGGTCACCTTAGGATAAACAGATGCAACAAATTATATGTCCCACAAAGCTTTCAACACTTTACAGCCAGCCAACCTAAAATAGAACAGTGGGTTCATCCAGGGAATGGAGACAGGCTAATTCAGTTATCTACTTGTCATTCACTTAAATTATCCTTCATAAATACATCTATTTATAGATAGATCTATCAAAGCATTATTCTACAGGCTATTCCCACACGTAGCCCACCCTATATATGTATATCCATATAGCATTTTCATTCAGACCTTCCTTCATCAGAGCACAGCTGGCCTGCAGAATTTTGCTTTAACCTATGGTACATTATAACTAGAAACTTTGGACGGTTTAACATAGAGACAAATTAAAGAAGAGCTGCTTCCCCATTACTTTTAACCTCTCACTCAAATTTGAGGGAGAACTGGATGGTGTTGGTAGGCTATCTTCCCTTTCATAGAATTAATAACAAGAGGCCCCTCAGATACTTTACCTTTTACTGGTGCATTGTTGAGGTGATTTTCTAGTTTATGCTACTTCTTAATCAGGTGAATTGGGGTATTAGAGGTTTTTGATTGTTCAGAGTCTTCTTCCTTTTGCTTTGAAATGTATATTTTTTTCTGATTTAACATATTGTTTTATCTAGGATTGATAATAAAATTAGTTTTTATTCCCTGAATGTTTCACTAGCAAATAACACCCGAGAGAGAGCTCAGCCTAGACATGTCCTAAGTTATAAGGGGAAAGCAATCTGAAATTTAAAATGTTCAGTGAATTGTCTTCACCCAAATAATAGCAGGTTTAACAGGCATAGCAGAAAAGGTCATGGTGTAAAAAGTAACTTAATTTTGTTTTCTCAGCCTAGAGTTTGCCTAACTGATTGGGCAGAGGGTTACTTTTGGGCTTGAAATGTATTGATGGAACCCATAGAGGCTGCTCCATTAGCACAAGGAGTATGAAGTGCCTTCTACGTTAAAGTGGCACGAGGCTTTTTTTTTTTTGCAATGTAAAATAAATTTAGCCTGATTTCATATAAAAACTGCTGCACATAATGGTAACACGGAATAAATCTGATCTTGACTCTGGGAAAAAGCATAGTCCTTAAGTGCCATTGGCTTGTAAATTGGTGATTAGACTCAAAACACATGGAGGGGTAGGAGTTAACAAACATTTCTTTGCTGTCAGCAGCTGGTTTTGCTTCTGCTCTTCCAAACTACTTTTTCTGGAGGCTTTTCTTCCAAATTCAGGCACAGTCACATTTGCTACCAGTATCCCACCTTCATGCCTTAATTATGTACCCATTTCTAGGTATGTCAGCAATCTTCTCTGACACTGTGCAGGGTGGCCTGTTCCCACTTAACAAAAGACAATTCTCCTTTTTCATTCCCCTTTGTTTTATATCTCCCTGATTGATATACCCCATACCTGGCCTCTTTCTTCTCAAACTCAAGGAAGAAAGAGCTTTCCCTTCTCTTATTATCCTAATTTGGTCACCAACATTAAAACTTTTCTGCAAAACCCTTCTTTTACATCCCATGAAACATCAGGGTTCTACAGAGCACAGTTTGGGCAAACATCCTAACCAAAAGTAGGACTTCCTTCCTTTGGCATAACATGTTAACGGAGCAAAAGAAAGGTAGATGGTACCTATCTCAATAGACATTAAAGGGTTTACGAAGGACTGTAATTTGAAAAAATTTTCTCTTTGCCGCTGCAGTTTTTTCCTTAAGATTTGTATCCAATCCCTGAAGGAACATTTTATACTAAATTAGGATAGCTTTAAGACAGTGAGGCTTTGGGATTTGTGATTATATTACTATAAATGAATATATTTAATTTTATTTTTTCTTTACTGCAGACTTTATTTACTACATTTATTTTTTAAAGTCTTCACTTGGGCTTTTACATTAAGTGCATTTTCCTGAAACTGTTACAGGAAGAAAGTCCTAATCTTTTCCCAGCAGCTTTATTATGTCCTGATTATCAAATTTAAATTGTTTTAGTGGAAGGAGGCAAAACCAGAAGATCTTATGGATTCAAAACTTAGGTGTGTGTTTGAATTGCCAGCAGAGAATGATAAACCGGTAAGTAGTTTTCTGGAGTTAATGATGGATTAATGTTTTGGGCTGATTCTTGTTCACATACTGTGGTTCCCACAAAATTAGGATTTCATTTGGCACATTATTTCCTTCCTCTGCTTGATGTTTAAAGAAATCAAATTGAAGTCAACAAATAAATGAGATTTTATGCAAGTCAGCTTTGGAAACACTTAACTTTTCCTTCTCTCAAGAAACCAGGATTGAAAAGATGTTAAGTTATATGTTGAAGTTGAATCGTTGAGAGGTTAAAACATTGAAAGGAGTAATTTGCTGCCTTGACTGGCAGGTTGGTAGACTGTGAGGGCCTGGTGAGTCACAGAGTGACCAGCCTGAAGCTGGTAACCACTGCTTCCCTCATGCCTTTATCTCAGCTAGATTTTTCTGTCCAAATACCTGCTTTTGAGGCTTGAGCTAAGTGCATAGATGATTTTATTTCTTCCATGTCAACACATACATTTAAAAATATCAAAACCAATTGATCAGAAATATTAACCTGGTTTCATGTCCCTTTGCCATCCCAGCTGCTCTACTCTTGCCATACTCCAGCTTTTCAGAGTCCTCCCTAAAATCTGAAACAGTATTTTAAATGTGCAGGGTAGGAAGCGTCATGACACAGTGGAAGTTGCATTGGCATGGGCATCAAAGGACCTGGATTTTAATCCTACCCCTGACACTACCTTAACTTGGACAAGTTGCTTAACTTCCCCAGGCCTCTGTTTTCTCATCCATAAAGTGAAAAGGCTACACTTGATTGCCTCTGAAGTCTCTTTTACCTCTAGACTTCTGATCCTATAATAATACCACTGGGGGGTAGATGATGGAAGAAGTTAACCTATTTGAAATGATTACCAATTACTATCTAGAGGTAAGGAGCAGATAGATGTTCCTTAACTTTGTTGCAGTGACAGAGAGTTAAGCCTTTCATCTGTACCACCTTCACTCATTGTATTTCCTTAATCTATTCCTTGAACCAACTCAGTACTTCCTCTTTGCAAGATCATCAGCCTACTTCTTGGAACTGCTAATGATTATTTGTTTTTCATTCTTTCAGTAAGTACACTGGACAGGGAGTTTAGAGGACCTGAATGCTAGTCCTTGACCCTGCTACTAACTAACTAGCTGTTTGACTTTCAGTGTCCATTTTCCCCCTCTGTGAACTTTAGTTTTCCTTCATCTATAAAAGGAGTTGAAGCTAGGTGACCTCCAAGGTCTCTTCCAGCTCTAAAATTCTGTGTTTCAGTAAAATAAATCACCTTCTCTCTAGCCCTGTCCTTTGTCTAATCATTGTGGAGACTTTTTCCAGATTTTTTCCCCATAATCACTTGTCATCAGTTCTTCCTCAACTTATACATTTGTGGCATCCTAATTTTTCTGTAGCAGGAGTTTGATAGGATGATGTACTTTTCTTCCATGCTGTGAAGTATTAGCCTCAGCATGATTTCCTTCTCTAGTCTTAACTATAATTTCTTGGGTCCAGTTGCCTGTAAAACGGATATTGAGATGCTGAGTAGCTAAAATGCTACATTAAATGATCCATTAGATACTTTACCACATGGATGAAATTCTACCATGTGCAATTTTTACTGAGAATTTTGCTTTTTTTCCCCCCCAAGTCTTTTAGTCTGACAGTTTTTCTCTCATTTACTTTTGAGCAGCATGATGTAGAAATAAATAAAATTATGTCCACAACGGCAACAAAGACAGAATCATCTGTTATGTCTAAATCTGTAAGTTCTTCTTTGGATGATACTGAAGCTAAGAAAGTAATGGAAGAATGTAAAAGGCTGCAAGTAGAAGTTCAGAGGTTACAGGAGGAAAACAAACAATTTAAGGTAAAAGAGGGTTTTCTGACATTCTCCTAGAGGGTGAGGACAGACCTTCTCTGGCTTTGGAATGTACAGGGAACAGTTGTTTAGTTCAGCCAATGTTTACTGAATGCCTGTGATGGGCAAGCCAGGGGATTGGGGGGGGGAGGGGTTTCAAAAATTAAATCAGACTCATTCCCTGTCCTAAAGGAATGTACAGTCTATTTGAGGGGAGGAGATGTGGGATGAGACAGATAATGGTCATAAAAATAAAAGTCCTCTAAGAGAGGCAGCACAAGCTTTGGAAAGGATGCTGGATTTGGAGCAAATCTCAGTCCTGCCATTTGCTACCAGTGTAACGTTGGGTAAGTCTCTTAACCACCCTCAGTGTTTTCTTACATGTACAGTGAGGGGGTTGAATTATGTGGCCTCTAAGGTCCTCTCTGGCTCTAAATCTATGATCCTAAATATATGAGAGATAGAGTGCTAGGAGAGCTCACCTGAGAGAGAGCTATCAGGGGGAAGTGTTATTGCCCAGCTGAATGGTAGAGCACACTGTATAGTCAGCATGCAACAATGGTGAAGCCTTTCAGAAACAGAAATCTTTCAACCAAGGTTTTGTGGAGGTTGTTTCTAATTAAACATTTCAGACTCTGAGTATTGTTGCAGGAATGATGTGGATTTTTATTTTTAAGTTGAAATTTTTAAATCTTCTTCAGATCTCCAGACATGGAACAGTTTCTGGTTTCACATATGTTTTGTTTTTTGGCACAGTCCTCACCATTGGGGACCACACCTTCCATTCATCTCAGGGCCAGGAAAAAGGGGTTGGTATCCTAGCTTCCCTATCCAGATCACTGTCATCTTCTCTCTATAGCCCTTCCTCCATTGACATCCATGCAGTTCATTTATACCATCCTCTTCCCATGTTCGTGTTGCTGGAAGTACCTACTTCCAGGTCCTTTCCTTAGCTTTCATAATCATTTTATTACCTGGTGAATGGTTTTCCTCTCCTCTTTCCCTTACATCATGAATAGCTACTTCATTATCCATGTTGATGTGTCATATGTTAACACCCAAGCTACATGATTCCTCCACCTCCTCAAATCCAACAACCTCCTAGTTATGTGAGTGTTCTCCAGCTCTCAGAATTGCCCAACTTCAATTCTCACTGTTAGTTTCAACCTCTTTCTTTCCCTGACTCTGACTAAAACTGCTGTTGGTCTTCTGTACGGCTTCCAGTCCCTAGACTCTTATTCTGTCTGTGTGTCATCCCTCTTCTGGCTTCAGAAGCCTCTAATATCTATACTTGATCACACAATTTGCCTCTTTAATGATTTCAGTTTCCTTAAAACCCTTTGCCCTATTGAACTTCTATTGTTCGTGTCCTGCTAATAATATTTAAACCCAAATAAAACTTGCCATGTAGTTTATTTGTTCCTGATTCCTGACTACTGGACAAAGTTAAAAAATTGAGCTCAGACAGTAGCCCCCCTACCACTGTAGTATATTTGTTGTATAAGCAGCTGGGTTGTCAACTATTGCCATACAGTTCTTAAATTCTGTTTCTCTTAACTACCTGTTCCTTCTCTCTTCAAGCCTCTGACCTCAGTTCAGCCCTTTCCCACTTAGTTAACGATAGAAGACCTAACCTCTTATTGTACTTCACCAAAAAGATGGAGTCTGTCTTAGAAGATTAAGTAATGCCTTAACAATTCTTCCTTAATTCCTCAATATTGGTCCAAATCATCACCTGTTCTCTGCTTACCTTTTCTTTCAGAGAAAGAAGTATTCTTCTTCATCACTAAGGCTAATTCCCTTCTCTGAACCTTAGATTCCACATCCCTTAGGTTCTTGGTCAAGCTGTTATCCTCTTTATCTCATGCATCTTCAGTTTCTCCCTTTGTACTGAACCCTTCCTATCTTCCTATAAATATGGTCAGGTCTCCCCAGTCCTAACAAAAGCTTCCCTTTACCCTTCTATCCTGTCCTTTTCTATCACTATATTCCGCCAAGACCTGAACTCCTTGGAAAAAGTTGCCTATCTATGCTTCCATGTCTGTGCCATCCACTCTGTCATCAGTTCTTTGCAGTCTGGCTTCTAGCCCACCACTCTACTGAACCTTTTCTCAATGGTTTCTAAGTCTCTAACTCCATTGATATTTTCCCCCATCATCCTCCTGAACTTATTTGTAGCTTTGACACTGTTGACCATCGTTTGTTTCTTAATACTCTTTCTTGCTTTGCTCTTTCCTTTCTTTTAGTGTATTCCTCCTCGGAAATGGATTTTTCTACTTTTTGAGTGACAAATAAGTAGAAATAGCCTCTACACAAAGTAAATAAAAGGTGTTCTTTATCATGCTAGATTTTGAAGTTAATCATATAACAGTGATTTAATTGTGCTGCAGTCTGATTAGCCAATAGGTGATAGAGTCATTGAAGAGTGAAGGGAGGTTTTTCCTCCTACTGAATTCTTGCACTGTTGGATTTCTTATATCTCCTCTCACAGGGAATAGTGTGTCTGCATGTGTGTATGAGGGTGGAGAGGAGTTTAGGAGTCTTAGCTTTGGAGTCAAAAAACATGATTTCAAATTCTGTCTTGGACATTTTACTATCTGTGTGACATTTAAGCCCTCTGAACAGCTGTTTCCTCAGTTGTCTAGTGAGGACAAGCATGCTTTTACTTTGTTCACAGAGTTTTCATGAGATTGTGTGTGTGTGAGTGTGTGTGTGTGTGTGTGTGTGTGTGTGTGTGTGTGGCATTTTGCAAACTTTAAAGCACTCTACAAATATGAATTCTATTTCAGAGGCATTTTACATTTTGTTTCTCCTACTTCTTCAGCAATTCTTTTTCTAACTTCTCTATTAGTTTCTTTTCCTAACTTCTTAAAGTATATATTTCCAAATTTCTGCCCATTTCTCCTTTCTCTTGTCTCTTTAAATTCTGTTCCTTGGTAATCTCATCTACTCCTACATGGTTTCCACAAGCATATCGCCACAGATTATTGACTCAGATTTATTTCGGCCCCATATATCCAATTGCCCAGAAGACTTGTCTACCTAAATGTCCCACCAATACATCAAACTCACCATGTCTAAAACAAAACTTTTTTTGTGCCAAAATACCTCACATGTCCCTCCCTTTCTATTACAACAATTCCCACTCTAACTTAACTTTTCTTTAATACTGTCCCTGAACTATGCTGCAATTCTAATCTCCATTCATTAACATTCTTACTCTGTCTCTCTGTCTCTGGATGTGTGTCTCTGTCTCTCTCCCTCTTTCTCTCTCCTCCTTCCCTGCCTCCTTTCCTCTTCTCCTTCCCTTTTCTCCTACCTCTCCTCCCTCCCTTTCTCTTTCCTCCTCTCCCTCCCTCCTCCTTCTCTCTCCTCTCCTTCCCATCTCCTCTCTCCCTCATTCATTCTTCATACCATTGCCAGATTAGTCGTTCTTATGCATATATCTGGTCATGTCACCCTTTTACTCAAATACTTTTCTATGAGCTCCCTATTACCTGCCAAGTCAATTTCAAACTCCTTAGCCTGGCATGCAAGTTCCTCCATAATCTGGCACCACCCTACTTTTATAGCCTATTCTTAATATGTTGCAATAGGTAGAGTTTTAAGAATTAGAATCAAGAAAACCTGGTTTGGAATCTCACTTCCAACATTTACTAGCTATGTGACCATAAGCATGTCACTTACCTTTCCTAAGTTTCCATTTCCTTGTCTGTAGAATGGAAATAATAACATCTGTGGTACCTGCCTTACAGGGTTGTTGTGAGGCTTGAGATGATGTATTTAATATGCTTTGAAAACCTTAAAGTATAGTATAAATGTCAGCTGTTATTGATATTATATTCCCTTCCTTGTACTTTGTGCCTCGGCCAGAGTATAACTACCATCCCCTTTACATTGCACAGTTTTCCCACCTTTATCTTTGCTTACACTGCCCTTATGCCTAGAATACTGCAGCTCACTCCATTCTTCTCCCCAACTCAATTCATACCCATCCTTTAAAACACAATTCCAATTCTACTTCCTATAGGAAGCCATCCCTGATATTTCCTCCCAAACTTAGTAGTGACCTGCTCTCACACAGAACTTTGTTTTTACCTCAGGTATGTAACACATACTATTTTTAAATTATTGATGTTTATGTGTATATTATTCCCCAGACATAACTGTAAGTTCTGTGAATGCACAGATCTCTTTTCTTTGCTTCTCTCTGCACACAGGCACATGAACAATATTAGACTCTTCAACCCCTGCCTCTTTCTGCTGGATGTGGTACAATTCTATCCATCCCAGAGCTGCTCAGGGAATCCAGTGGGATTAAACTTTTCTTCTCATTCATTCACATTGCTTAGATTTAAGCACATTGACTCCTGAGAAAATGTCATCAGCTTCTTTCTCTGCAGCAGTTGTGATGTATAAGCACAAATAACTTCTTAGAAAGGATATTTTTAATGTGAAGCTTAAGGGTTTGTGGGATTTTTTTAGTTTTGCCTCTTCTCCCAAAATTAAAAAAAATACACACACACACACACACACCCCCACCCACCCACCCCTTTTCTTTTAGTGTATTACTCCTCGGAAATGGATTTTTCTACTTTTCGAGTGACAAATAAGTAGAAGTAGCCTCTACACAAAGTAAATAAAATGTATTCTTTATCATGCTAGATTTTGAAGTTAATCATATAACAGTGATTTAATTGTGCTGCAGTCTGATTAGCCAATAGGTGATAGAGAGTCATTGAAGAGTGAAGGGAGGTTTTTCCTCCTACTGAATTCTTGCACTGTTGGATTTCTTATATCTCCTCTCACATGTGTCTGCATGTGTGTATGGGGGTGGAGAGGAGTTTAGGAGTCTGAGATAAAAATCATATTTGAGGTTATAATAAAAAATGCAACTTTCATTTTTCATTAACAGTATCCTTAAAATTCACCTCTTTGTGAATCAGCAAGTATTGTTGCCTTCAGCTATTTCTGTATTAGAAAATTTCTAGGGCTTCTAACCTTCAGGTTTCTTATTGTACCCCTGCCTTCAGAGCTAGCAGGTTATCACTGAAACAGGCAATTAGAGCTTAAAAGGGTATTAAAGGTATCTAGTCACTCCTCCTTCCATTCTACCAAGGCAGAAATTGAGGCCCAGAGAAAGGGTTGGAAATATGAATTATTTATGGAGAAGTGAACCAGGCATCATGACTGACAATATAGTTCTATGTTATAGGATCATAGATTTAGAGCTGATTGCAATCTTAGAAGCCAACTCCTTCATTTTAGAGATGAGATTGAGATGAAGTTACTTGCCCGAGGTCACACATGGAATAAGTGGAAAAAGTGGGATTTGAATCCAAGCCCTCTGAATTCAAAGCCAGTGCTTTTCCCACTCTGTTACATTGTGGCATAATGAAGCATTAATTTTGGGAGTCAGAAAACCTGGCTTCTCTTTGTAACTGCTCCACTACCTGTGTGATCATATAACTTATCATGGCCTCAGTTTCCTACCTCTTTTCAGTGAGGAAATTGGCCTAGATCAAGGGTCAGCCAGCTATGGCTTAGCGAGCACAGAGGTAAGAATGGTTTATGCATTTTTTTTAACACAATAAAACTGTATGTAAAAATGTAAAAAAAAAAAATCTTAACTCATGGGCCTTAACATCTGCAGTGCACCCTGGACTAGATGTTAGCTAAGGTTCCTTCCAGCACTTAACTCTATCATCCCACAAATAGTTGTAGCATTAGTACTGACATAATGTTCTTTATCATGATTGGGTGTGTCCTGTCACAGGGATAGTGAGTGGTAAGTCAGTTATTGGGAGGTGAAGCCAGTCAAGCCATAATCATATAGTCAGCAGAAACAACCAACTCATTTCTAGCACTTTGGGGTTTTTTTCGGTAAATCTGGATTTATTTCGACAGGAAGAAGATGGGCTGCGGATGAGGAAGACACTGCCGAGCAACAGCCCAGCTTCTGCCTCAGCCACCATCGTGAAGGAAGAAGGGCTTAGTACCCGACTTTTGGCTCTGGTTGTTTTGTTCTTCATCGTTGGTGTAATTATAGGGAAAATCGCCTTATAGAGGCAGCATGCAAAGGCTGGTAATTGGATTGATGGATCTGCCATATCATGGGATTTAAACTTATTCATAACAAAGAAATTAATGTTTGACATCTCACAGGTCTTGCCTTTAAATTACCCCCCCCCCCCGCACAAATATAACATAACATAATCTAGAAAGTTTGAAACGTACAGTGAGTAATCGGGGCAAAAACCAAATGCAAAAAGAATGATCTTTACTAGATGACAAGGAAAATCATGGTTAATACTCAAATGATAAGTTGTAAATGCAATTTTAAATATTTTTAGACCTTGGTACATGTTGCTGGATTACCTCTTTTAAAATGAGAAACTGGTTCCTTAACTGCTAGAGCTCCCCCCTTCTGATAGTGGGAACCAGAGCTAAGCAGGAAGGGGCAGGAATCTCTGTAAAATATATCAATCCACCATACATACTGCTCATAAACTTAAAAGTTTGTCCATGTCTTCAGTTCTGTGCAAGTTACCAGTTATTTTTTGGGAACTTAAGTGAATTGAGTCAGAAGCTGAAAAGAATTAAGTGACAGCCTTGAATGTGCTAGTCACCAATATGAGGCATATATCGATTAATAGTACACAACATTTTAGGAGAAAGGTCCTTGCCTTGTTCTCTTAAAGGGACCAAGCTAAACTGCTGTTGGTTCGTTTAGTTGAATTAAACTGTTATTCAGAGATGTTTAATGCCTATTTAACTTATTTAATGTATTTCATCTCATGTTTCCTTATTGTCACAGGTTATGACTAATGCTATGGTATAGAAATCACCACTCTAAGGCTGGTGGGTTGACCTGTCATTGCTGCTGGAGAGCTATGGGATCCTTCTGTCTCCTACTGGTTTTTTTTTTGGGGGGGGGCACTACATAAATGGACTTTTGACTTATTTGAACATTGGAAAACAACGGTCAGGAAATGTTTTTCTATGTAAATAAATAACATCTATCTTGGGGAAGGGAGGGAAATTATACCAGTAGTAATAATAGTCAACTCTTGATTACCCTGCTGATGGAGGGAGTAGCCATAGTGCAGATAACCTTTAAAAAAATGTCATTTTAATGTCACTCTTGAATTCATCTGATTTCACCTTTCCTCACTGTGCTTGGCCTCAGTCCCTCTCTCTCTCCCCTACCCCCAATTTGGCCCATAATTGGAGTAGCAACATGGAAAGTTATCCCAGTAGTATGGAGGGGGCAGTATTCTAGAAGTAGCTAGGGGAGATAGTCCTGGAGCCAACTGGGAGGCAGGAGAGAGGAGACCCACCCCAAATGAGGGGCTGGTGGTCAGGGGAAACCTTCCCCCAACTAACTCACAAAGCAGATAATTGAGAGTTGACTGTAAATTAGTTCTGTGCTGTAAATGACCAATCTTGTTGGACTATGTAGCATCTTTAAAAGAAAAAAAAATTAAATAAAGCCCCAAAATGAAGATTTCTTTTGTTATTTTGTCACACATGTGCAAGAGAAAAGCTAATTAAAAACAACAGGCACTATCTGTGTTTCATAATGCTTCTAATTTAGCAATGTCTTTTTAGATCCTTTTGGTCTTAACTGAAAGGACTACACATGAAACTGCTAACATTTTAAGTGGCTTGTTAAAGATGGGAATCTTTAAGGCCTGTTGCCCCCCGTTCAGATCTAGAATTTTTTTAATTACTGTATTTCCAGAGAAGGAAACCTTAGATCTTAAGTGAAACAGCTGAAATAATTAAGAAGTGAAATTAGGCTCTGTTGACTGATCATGGACTGGACTGTGTATGAATTTAGCTGTTAGGAAAGAAGATAAGAAGAGTAAAGATGGACTAGTTCAACTAAGAAACTTAGCATGACCCAGGTATTTTAGGTGCTTCCCAGAACAGGATCTTCCTTGAAGGAAGGGTGCCAGTTCAGCAAGCCACTCCCCATGAGCTCCCTCCTTGTGCACCAAGAGCCCCTGTGGTGAACAGAGCTGTAAACTTGAACATATCAGCCTATGAGGCGCTGTGTAAGCTGGCCTCCAGCGTTGCTATAGAAGGAGGGACCAAGCACTAAAACACAGGGTGTCTCAAAGCCTTAGCAAAGGTTTAGGTCTGAATAGCTTAATGAAGTTTCAAGTTGAAATACCTTAAAACTTCACTAAGACTTTTGGGATACCCTGTAATGATGTGAGTGCGCAAAGCCGCGTCTTTAAATTGGGTTAAACAAAGTAAAAGATATCCACAATAGTTGTTAAAATTTGTGTGTGTATGTGTTTTCACAACTTCTAGGTAGGGCCTCATACAACTAAGACAAGGATATATTTCTTGAGTTGGGATTTTAAGATTCTCCTGGCCCTTTGTCATACACCCTTTTTTCTGCGTAAACTTTAAGAAAGGGAGTACTGTCCCAATAAACTTATAAGGAGGATGGTGAATGAGGTTTTATTTGGGGGGGAGGGGGTAGTAAAAGTCACTGAGTTCCAGAGTTTCTAAAATTCCAACCTATTTATGGAGAATTTGCCCCCATTTTGTAGAAGACTGTGTTTTTATTAAAATTTAAATGCAAAAACGTCAATTCCTTCTCCTGCCAGCCTATGAACACTTTTCTCTTATTTGTTGGCTAGGGTTCTATTCTGTGTTTGTATTTGTGAGTTGAGAGAGAAGTTGGTTTTCTGTCTTTTATTATCAGTACAGAGTATAAAATTCAGGGCCTTAGAGCAGCCAAAGAACATGCCAGAGAGAGGCATAATAGGCTTCCTAGAGCATCAGTGTTTCTGGTATCTTATCAGCCATGATGGGTGTGGGAAAGGGAGGGAATGGGCATGGGGAGAGGTAGATACAGGAGGTGGGAAGAGAGGTGATTTTGACAAGGGCTAGTTCTAAACAGTGAAGGGAGAAGTGAAGCCATTAAAATAAAGCTAGGAGTGGAAGAGAAGGACCAGTGAGCAAGGATAACCTCTAGTGAGTGTGATGATTTGGAAGTGAGTAGGTAAGAGATTGGAGGGATAGGATTATCTTCTGTTCTTAAATTACAAACCACTACTCAGGTCTCTGCCCTTGCCCTCTAAATCTAGCCCCCAGTGAAGGCCATCTCAATAAAGAAGATGCAGGAAGCCATGAGTAGTCATCAGGTTTCATAAAATTTTATCAAGCATATTTTTAAATTGAGAATTTAAGCTCCCTTGGAACCTCAGCCATGGGGATTATAGTGGCATCCTAAATGCAGTTTAAAAAAAAACAACAACCCATCATCATTTATATCCCCTAGTGCTTCACATATGGTAGATTCCTAGTAAATATTTTTTAAAATTGAAGTTTTAGGCCAAAGTCACCTTTAATGATTCTTTCTGACCTGCATGGTTTTTTTTCCCCTCCCTGATCTATGAAATTGCTTGCATTGGCAGTAATGAGTACTGATAAAAATCACAGTAGATTTTACTGGTTGACAGTTGATACCTTCAGTGAGAGGCTCATACCTACAGAAAGGAAGGGGAGGGGAAAGAAAAACCTCCAGCAATCCATGAAAACCAAAATGTTTTCAAATAAATAGCAAAAGCAAAATTGCCTTCTAAAGGCAACAGAGCAAAAGTATTGGCTGTTATTGGCACCCACCTGAATGCAGTGGTCACTCAAAGCTAACTCACCTTCAAGTGAACTTGGGAACAAGCTATGGCACAAGGAAAAATTGTAAAAATTTGGCAATATATTAAAGAACACCTAGCATGTGGGAACCTAGATTGTAACATGTCACTAACTTCAATCAACAAACTATTGTCACAGGAAAGATTTAACTGATACCTGCTTGATTTGTAGTGCAATAATTCTGTCTACTACACTACCCTGCATTGTAACATATGTACCATTTTCAATAGTTTGACATTTTTCAAAATGGCAACTAGTTTTGGGCACATAGAAATCCTCCCATTTGTGTGCTCAGTGTGGGATAAATGTCTACCCTAACATTTAATCATTTAATTGACATTTACCTATTGAATTAATATTTGATTATTAAATTATCTCTTAATTCCAGGGTCTCTTCTGAAAGTTGGCCTACATAATTGTTCTGGCTTGTTTTTAAAATCTTGTTTGTGAATTGCTTGGTTTAAAAAGTAAAAATAGGTATGTGCCCTTCAAGGAAAATTTGAGCCCTCTCCTAATACTGATCTTATGGGCCAGTGAAAGGAAGCTATCACTTGCACATACTGGAAACAGAAAATTCTTAGTGGGTATCTAGCTGCTGGGATTTTGTGTACTGAAAATATGAAATTTAAAGCTGGATCATCTAGTCTGTTTCCTCACTTTACAAAATGAGGCAACTGAGTCCCCCAGTGAGGGTAAGGAACTTGCCTAAGGATATATGTACAGTAGTAGTGAAGCCAGAATTTTCCCATCCACTTCCTCAGACTCCAAACCTAGTGATTTTTCCACTACATAGCACTGCCCTATGTCTCTCACTCAGGCCGGGATGTTGATCAGCCTCTCAGGGCTAAAGAAAGAAGAATGGGAAAGATTTTGGATGACATAACCTTGCAGTTACAACAACTGTTGGAAAAACTTTGTTTCCTAAGATAACCAGAAATGGAGTTGTATTGAGAGAGTCTCTGTTCTTTCTACCTAAATCTGATAAGATCTGCAATTAACTTTTCAGATTTTAAAGGCATATTCTCCGAATACGTGATTCCTGTTTTCCTCAGAGTTCATATAAGCCTGATTAGATTTGGGGGGAGGGGGAAGGCCTTTTATTTTTCTTTAAAAAGAACCCCTACTTTATTACTTACTAAGAATTAAAGTAATATTCCTATAATTAAATTAAACCTGAAATGTAAGTTCTACAAATTTGTCTTCAAAATCCATAAAAGGAACAAAGTTGAAAAATCCAGGGGTTGTGAACCTCTGAATAAAGTTGAATATTATTGTTTAGTAGCTATTAGGAGTAGGACTTCATCTAAACTTCCTTTGTATGCAGTGTTAGAGATGCTTGTACTTCATACTTATTTATGTTTCTGGGACAGGTGTACAGAGTTATAAGGGCATGAGCATCAGTGCGGGCTTTTGTATTGATTAGTTTCTCTTCATCTTAGATTTAGTTATTTTTCATATGAATGAAATAGTCAGAAATATAATTCAAAAGCCTTTCGTGTCTGAAGTAGAATGGTAGAATTATGCTGTCTAAACTTTCTTCATATCTGAAAGCCTTCAGGACTCCTTGGGATTGAATTTGGAAGTCTTTTATAAAGAAAATTATCAGTTTGGCTCAGTATAGTGACTTAAGCTGCACTGTGGATAAGCTAGCACATATACACTCTAACTTGTGTGTGAAGTTACAGCCATTCATGAAAATGCATATTTTTAGACTTTTTGCTGTTAACATCACTTACTGAAGTGGCAGCACAGATTTTGTGTCAAAATGTAGCTATGACTATGGGTATTTTATACCTCTCCCTAAATTGATACTGCATTTCTAGGAGAGACAGTGATGGAGCTAGATATGGTGAGCTTAATAGTGGGAAAATGGGGGTGGGGGAGGCAGATATCAACTAAGGAGGTAGATTGGGTATCTGAGAAACACATCTAGCATTACATTTTTTAAATGTCTACCCATTAACACTTTACCCATGTGTTTCCACTCTCAATAATATTAGAAAAAAATGTAGAACTGCCTGCATTTCTCCATATGACAGTAGCTTTTTCAACTTTGTTTCCTTTATGGATTTTGAAGACAAATCTGTAGAACTTATGTTTCGGGTTTAGTTTACACTCATTACAGGGATATTATTTTAATTCTTGGTTTATTATAATAGTTCATTGTGGAATCAGGTTCCCATATGAGTAATTTAATTAATTTGGACTTTTTTTTTTAGTAAAACCAATTTATTGGAAAATGTTTGCATTACTTCTATATTTAGGCATTTTGGTAAAACAAAATATAGCTATTATCTAACTTGCCATAAATGTTTGCAGTTATAATCCCTGGAATGTTTCTATGGTATACAATGACCTGATTAAAACATAATGGTGGAATAAAATGGCACCCAGGATAATAATCTGTTGCTGCTAGACAAATGCCATTTTTTAAACCGGGAAACAATGATACTGTGACAATGTCTTATTACAGTTGCTTTATTATACCAAAGGGTTGACATGTATTTAATCATTGCCTAATGGATGTTGGTGTTGGACTGATGCTATCATTAGCTCAAACCCTGCTTTGATTATTGACAAGCATTCAGACTAGGGAGCGGCCCAACACCTATGCTGATCTCCTTCTAGGCCAAAAGCATGGGTCATAGAGAAAACTCGGAGCATGCTGTTTCTCCCCAAGAGGAAACAAAATTTCCATTGTGTTTCCTTTCAACTATCATCTGTATGGATAGGCAAGGCAGAGAGAGATATAACTATTACTTATTCATAATTAATAAGGCTTGTTACTTAAGAAAGTGATAAATTGCTGTGCATGTTTCCTACACCAACCCTAGTTTCTTTTGTTGTTGTTTAACTGCCTGCATTTTTAGGGCGTTGTTTTTAGAAGTAAATTAAATTCAGCTGTTACTCCTCTGGAATTCAACATCTCCACCCTACCCTGCCCCTATCATGGGGGGGGGGGAGGGAGTGTATTGTTTGACTGATTCCAGTCAGAATTTGCTTGCCAATAATACTGAGACCATTAGTACAGGGGCTGCTTCTTTCCAAAGCACTATCAGACTTCTCATAAATAAGAGTCTTAAAAGAGCCTCACGTGTGTATTTGCAATGTTCACATACAGATACTAGAAGAGAGAATACATGTTTTCATTCCTGTTGCTAGCATTTTGCCTTTATATGTTATAGGAACTCTCTTCTCCATAAATGAGAGGCAGTGTGGTGCAGTGGAAAGAGTGATTGGATTTGGAATCAGAAGACTTGGGTTCAAATCCCAACTCTGCTACTATGTGACCTTGAACAAGTCCCTTACTTAACCTCTCTGGCCCTCAGCTGGCTCACCTATAAACAGGGAGTGGAACTAGATCACCTCTGAGATTCTTCCCAGCCCTGCATCTAGGATCTGATGTTACTGCTTGAAACATCTTACCAGAAACCCAAAAGGATCTGTTGAAATGCTCTTCCCCCTTTGTAAGTGACTGAAGAGATTTTCTAAAAATCAGATTAATCTCTGGCGTGCTTTCCACACTTCTTCTTGATAATTCCTACAGTTCTTAATGTGTATTTGATTCTAATTTCTAGTAGTGAGATTCTACCTGTACCTTTATTAAACAGATGTAGTAAAAAAAAAAACTTCATTCCATTTTTCTTGTGTATTATATTTTCTGTTTTGGCATTAATTTTAAAAGCTGATGCAGGGAGAACACTTCCCATTGTGTATTTTTGTTTTCTGACATGTAATAAGTTTATATAGTTATGTAGTAATTATATACTCTTGAGGAGAAGGCTGACTACTGCTATAGTTTAAACAAGTTCTTTACATCATGTATTCACATGGTCTGTATCAGTCAGGCAGCACATGCCAGGCCAAAGTGTCCACTTTTGTATCATTTGGCTCAGTATTATGTTTAATAAATTCTGTGCTCTGGACATATTTAATGGAAGTTTCATTGTACATTCATTTTGAATGGGTAATTTAAGGAGGATTGAGACACAAGCTTCCATTTCTTCTTCTGCATCTGATGTGTGATGTTGTTTGAATTGGAATCACAGAATGAGAGGGATAAGAAGCCTCATACTCACTCTGGTCCAGCCCTTTCACTTCTCAGAGGAAAAAACTGATGCCCAGAGAATTGGAACAGCTCACCCCAGATCACACAGCTAGTTAGGTAAGGGCTTGGATTCAAGCTCCTCTCTTTTGACTCTGTCTAGTGGTTCTTCCCATTAGAAAAAATATTCTCACAAAAGTAAATCATTTCCAGGCATCAAAAGTGGAGGATCTTTATCTGTAATTCCACATCTCATGCTGGCACCTTGTGTAAGAGCAGTGAGTTTTATGAAAGAGATTAGCAAATCAATGGGAATAAAGATTTATAATGCAAATTGTTGTTGATGAAATGAATAATCATTATCCCAAGAGTGTATTTTAGAAATGAGTGTGAATTGGTTTAAGATGCAGCATCTTCTGGGTTTTTTGTATTATTCATAGAGGAAAAGCAGCCACAGTAAAGCGTATTTATTGGAAAGATAGAGGTAAACTGGAGGAGGGTGGGATGGGAAGCGCTAGGCTAATGTCTATTCTATAGAATAAAAAAAAGTTTGAATTCATTGAGCCAGTGTTAATGGCTATGCACATTAGACAATTTGATCTACCTCCAGTGATGCTCTCAGAACTACATAAACATTAAGTTAAGATGCACTCAGTCCCTAACTCATGCTGAGGAAAAGAGAGCTTTTCTTTTACTAGTGCCTGTTTTCTTAGTCATGTTTGATCTCTTAAAAGATACTTCAAGAAAGGGAGGAATAGTAAAATTGTATGGAAATAAAGTGCCCTCTATGCTGAGGGGAGGGGAGTGGGAGGTGTAGGAGTACCATCAAGCTACTTCTGCCTGGCTGTGTTTCTTGCTCGTGCCACAAACATTAAATACCCATGTACACATTTGAGCAATCATTCTCTGCCCTCAAGACCTTCCATTTTTAAAAGGTCTGCAAGAGCTGGTTGAAATCTGAGATTGACTCTACTGCTGGCTTGAAGCCTTAAAATATTTGCAATTTTAAATTGCAGAAATCTTCAGGGAATGTACATTGGAGTGATGGATGTGGAAACCCTTAGTTCCTTGCTTCCAGAGCATAACTCCGGAAATGTGAGATTTTGTCATGCTGTCATCTTTTTTTGCTTTAACCCTTGGGAGTAATTTTTTTTAAATAAAAGCCCCCTCTCCTAACAATGAATCCCCAGAAAGGCCCATCAACCCTACTCCCAGCCTCCTTGACAAAAAGAAAAAGGACCTACAAGTCTTAAGAGTTCTGGACAACAGCATTTATGATTCTGCTTTTAGGGGAAATGGATTCATCATGCAGAAACTGTCACCCCAGATCACAAGGCTTCATAATCTGAAGCCTAAGAGTTAGTCCCTATTTCTGATCTATTTCCATCCTGTTTTATTGGGTAGATAACTCTAGCTTGCCTTAAAATCATAAGCATTAGGGCGAAGGAGTATTTAATGGAGAGAGAGGGGATATAAGTGTCATAGCAAGGAGGGTAGACTGTTAGCATCCCCAAAGATAAAAATATCACCGGAAAAAACCCTGCCCATTAAGTTTTAATAGTTTTATAGCCATTCCTTTCCCAGTATATCATTAAAATCCTTTCAGGTCAATCTCCTAATCTCTTAGTCATCTGGGCAAAGAGCCATATGATGTCATACTTGGAACAACCCTTCAGGGATCACCCCTGTCACCCTCATTTAACAGACAAGGAAACTGAGACCCTGAAACCAAAGACAAAAAATTTTAGGTGTAGAGGTTGACAGGTTGGTTTCCCTATCCCTACCCATATAGGAAGCTATATTAAAACTGGAGGCAGCAATATGTCAAGTGTAAGAAAAATTTTTGCCAGACTCTGTAACCTGCTATTCATAGATGGCAGCTGCCTCTAACTTGTAGCACTCCCTGTCTTGGATAGTTCGCTGGAAAGTAAGCATCCTCTAGATCTCCTTACTTAGAGTATGCCAGTCACTCCACACCCACCAACTAATATGATATTCAAACTACATAGTTGTACTCTGGGCGTGAATTCAGAGCTCTCGGGCTTGGGCTCAGCTCAGGGCTTAGCCTGACTTAGAGAGGTAGTGTATGAGTAATGGAAGGCCAATGTTATTTCCTCCAGCCTTGCAGTTGTATGGGGCTCTTTGCATGTGTCAGACTGTTAGATCTCTTGGTCACTTGAGGTCATGAAAGATTACTGTGATGCACTAAAATAAGACAAAATGCCCATACTTTTTATTTCACTCAGAAGTACCTACCTCATTTCCCCTCCTACAGCTTGATAAAGTATACCCTGAGGTATACTTTACTTCCTTTCAGTGTTCTTCAAACAGCTACCTCCTCATTCCTGCCCCCCCCATTCAACCCTTCCCATTCCGTAAATATCTACATTACCAGAAGTTGGTGATCCAGATCAACAAGTATGCATTGCGCTGTTGGACACGTCTCCAGTGGCACCAGTGTGAGATTAAACACATCCTTAGAAAAACCAGGAAAACAGACAGGCGTAATGGCCCATACCTGTGGTCCTTGCTGTTAGGAAGGCTAAGGCTGGTGGATTTCTTGAGTGGGGAGCTCTGAGCCATGGTAGGGCTAAAGCCAGTCAGATGTCCACAGTAAGTCTGACATAAATATGGTGGGCTCCCAGGAGCGGAAAGCTACCAGGCTGCCTAAGGAGGGATAAACTGGCCCAGGCTGGAAAAATAGAGCAAGTTAAAGTTTCCGTGGCATGTCACATTGGGATCAGACTATGGTAGCTGCTGCATTTCCTGCTTGGGCAAGGTAGAGACAGTCTCAAAATAATAATAATTAGTATCAATATTTCAATGGGACTTGAATAGCTGTACTTTTTTTTTAATTCTAAAAGTTCTAACATAGGAGCCTATGATATGTAGTTATGCCAACATCAAATCTTTTGTAAATGGGACAAAACATACTAATGCACTATCAAATTTTAAAAATCTAGTGCTCTTTTTAATTCTCTCTACCAGCACCCAAGGATGTTTCAAGGGTCTCATGCAGATTTGTGGGATGGGTCATGAGCCAAAGTTTGCTACAAGAGTTTGCAGGGTAGGTCAAGGACAGCCCCAACCTTGATATCCCATCTGATATCTTCAACAAACTGAAGCCCTACAGGTAGCGAATAGGACACACAATAATCATTTCTTCACAGCACATTCACACCTATACACTCAACGCAACTCTAGAAATGTTGCCAGCAGAATATAAAAGCCTGAGCCTGGAATGATAATTTCCATTGACCAAAAGTAAAACAGTATATTTTTTCACTTTCTAGTGATAATAACTGATCAGGCAAAGAAAAAACATTTGAAATATTGGCCTTGAAATCAGAATCCTTAAGTTTAGAGTAAAGAAATGGAGAAACATTGAGGTTCACTCGTAAGGGGATGAATTTTCCCTTTAATATGCACTTCGTAATTTAATGTAGTTACGTGTTCTGTTTTAAGCTTCTTCCCAAATACTTCTGATTAATTCTGGGCCCAGTGTGCAACAAGATGTATGTATACATGAAGAAATCTTACTTATCATAGGTACTCGAAGTTAGAACACAAACCCTTACACTTGACAATCTTTAATAACCACAGGGAACACCATTCAGTTGGTATGATTGTTTATGAGAAAGATTTTTAAGTTTAAATTTTAATGGGATTAAAAATTGTAATGTGATTAATGTGCAAATGTGATTCATTTGCACCACACATAGGTGAACTGGTTAGTGTAAATGGCATCCCCTGGAGCCGCTACCCCCTCCAAAACCCCACAACTTTATACATTTGGTTTAAAACCATAAATAATCTTATAACTGTAGTTCTGTGAATATGCCCTCTGAAAGCCCTTTTTAGTTTGAGACTTGCAAAGATTATCTTTTCTTAAAAACAGGAATGCTTAGAGAAGTCAGATGGGGCTTTTTCAAGCAGATGCCAGTGGAACAAAATAAGTGGGCTGGGATGATGAATTCTAAAGCACTTGCTTTATAGGTAATAGGTCTGTCATATCATCCAGGGCTGGAAAGGACTTTAGAAATCATTTTAAAACCCTCTCATTTTACAGATGAGGAAACCAGACCAGCAAAGGAAAGGGATTTCATTGTCCAAGTTCACAAAGTCACTTGTAAGACCTGGATTTGAATCTTAAAATATGTAATGTGACTGATGAAAGTGGGATGGAGTAAGAAAGGAGGAGATCATTAAAATGTTTCTCAAGACCTCTGAGTTCACCATGCCAGAAGAATTTTTAGCAGTATGAAAATACTTCAGTACTATTTCCACCCCCCATCCCCAATTACTGTCCACTGCTACCTGTACCACATAAATAAATTCACACTTCAGGTTGTTGACTGAGAGGTTATAGGCCTTAAAAGAAACCTTAACAATTGGATTCAAAGATTAAGCCCCTACGATGTGCAAGATGTGGATACAAAGAGAAAAAACAACCTTAGGGACCATATAATCCGAGGGTTATTAGCCTGGAGTCTATCGGCTTAAAAATTTTTTTTTAACAATTTTAACATAATTGGTTTCCTTTTTAATTCTATGCATTTTGTTTTATGCACTTAAAAACATCTTTCTGAGAAGGATTCCATGACACACAATAAAGGTCAAGAAGCCCCAAAATAGCCCTTATTCATCTGGGGTACTGGCTATAATTAACTAAAGAATAAAAGAAGAAAATTTGTTTTCTAGATTTGCCACTTACCTATTTGTAAAATGGATCTAAAGAATAATAAAATGGATCTAAAGTCATCTACCCATAAGATATCCATGACATTTTCTCTCTTATTAGAATTTATAGAAATGGGAATTTTCTGATGAAGAAAGAAAAACTATATATGCTGTAGATCCAGATGAATTCTTTGGCTATCCAGTGGCTGAAAATGCCAAGGGGAATTCAAACAAGAACTAACAGTAAACTTGCTTCTGTGTGATCTGGAAGTGGTGGTGTAGGGATTAACCTGCCTCTCATACGTCTTTGTGTCCCTTAGTTTTTGGATGAGACCAAAGGAAGAACCCTTTAGATAGAACCCTACCTCATAAACAGGTCCCAGAAGGCTGGATTTCTAGGCTGAAAATTCTGAAGCACAGAAATTCCAGCAGTTAGCACTTTGGGAGGCCGAGGTTGCCTGTGAATACAGGCCACTGAAAGCTCAAGGCAGCATGAATTAAAATTCATGTCACCAGCTTTAGTATGAACTGGTGAGTTGAATCAGCATTACTCTGTAACTTGGAAGTGGATATTTGCATGCCAGAGTCTAGTCTCAAGAATGCTACCCTCCCCCTGTCCATGTTTAAGCATATACAGAGTCTCAGGGATTAGAAAAGAAGGTGCTGATCTTGGAAATGTGCCTGGAAGGATGTCTCAAATTCTAGAGGGAATTCCCTCCTGCTTTGGGAGCCAACAATTTGATCAATTTAAGTCCCACCTTAAAAATGTCAGGGCTATGATCAGAAGTAGGCTTCCCATAGAGTATACTTTTGATGATCTGTTCCTGCTACTCCTGTATTTTTCTGGCTGATGACTGTGATGAAGTTGTCTTGAAAAGCCAGCGGATGCTCCAGCACACTGGACCAGAGGGTCCTGATAGGAAGTGGGACGCTTCTCTGGGATATCTGGGTTTGAGCCATCTGTGGGCCTCTCTCCAATAAACAGCAGGCTTTGGCCTCTTATGTCTTGTTCAGTCTTAAAGAGTTCAAACTCCACATGAGGGAGCTTGATGCCCAGTGGCAAGCACCCATTGGTTGGTGTGACATCCTGCTCAACTCCAAGGGACCAGGACCCTGCATCCCCACAGTTCCCTGGGTGTGAGAAGTTCAGCATCGCCACAGTGACCTGATCCATTGGTGTCACACGGGCCCGGGTGACTTTAAATGTTAGCTCTGTGCCACCTCTGACCTTGGTAGATAGGGTGCCCTTGTTGTAATACCCAAAGGCATACACCGTGAATGTGGGCTGTCGGCAGGCAGGGTCAGAGTAGTGGTGATAATAGCCTTCCCATGTCCGGTTACTCCCATGGAAAGTGAAGAATCTGGTGAGGAAGAGTACGGCAGGTCGGACCTCACACCTCATGCTGACCCACCTACCACTGAGTCTCAGGGGCAGCACCGCCTTGTGGGGTAGTATTGGGGGATGGTGTTCATCCGAACGGTAGATGATTCCACAAGCTGGGCATGGATGCGAGTGATGCTGGCAAAGGGCAAAAATAAAGGTGGTGAATTTCAGAGAGGAAATAGAAGTATAGTCAACTTGAGAAGCAAGAAGAATAAGTAGAGTGGGCCACAGCCTACCCATCCCTCTCTCCGCTTCTACCCCCATCCCTGCAAAACTCTTCCCTAGTTTACCACTGGACAAAAAATTTCATTAGAAATCTGTTTGGGGGGGTTATAAAAAAAAAAGTTGAAAATGTTCACCCAGAGTTGCCTGGGAAGCTTGGTACCAAGAAAATTGAAGTCCAGGTGCCAGCTGGGGGGGTGGGGGAAGAGGTTTAGGGAATGGGAGAGAATCATTTAATCAAAAGCTGGCTTAGTCTTGGCTTTCTTTTTAAGACTTTTGTATATATAGTTACATGATGAATCTAACTTTTCATAGATCTATACAAGAAAAAATATATGTTTAGCTTGGGAGGTTTATACCCATGGGTTCTGAAAGCTCTTTAAAATATGCCAGTTAATAGTTAGACATGGTTGCAGTAGAAATTAACTCACCCCCATCTGTAGGTAGCTGTAGTGCTACATGATCCTTGATTACAGTCTGTAATTGAACCATTTGTGGCTAACATTACAATTTAGGTCACCTTAATATATAGTGACAGTCCATGGTAAGCTAAATATAAATCCCCAGAAGTACACACACACACACATTATATACACACACATACATACATATCCTTCACAAGCAGGCAGGAAATTCTTTGATAATGGCTGGTAATTTGGAGCAAGAAGATTTCTTCAGAGCAAATGCAGACGGGATACTGGGGGCTAAGGTAGGGAGGGAAATGACATTTTCTCCTTACATTTAATTTTTTTTTTAAGAGAAAGAAAATTACCCTGCTCTGAATGAAGTTCATTTTAGCATTGTCTGGAATTCCACTTGTTGTTAAACAAGGCCCCTGTCTGACAAAATTAACATATTGAGTCTGAAGCCAAAGTCTTACTAGATTAAATGGGTTTAATAAAGTAATTTCTGAAACAGCATAGGACAGTTTCTGATTAACCCTGAAAAGTGACATCATGTACTCAGATGTTCTCAGTCCACTGCAGGCTGGTGAATTAGCAGCGTACCCAAGGAGTGGATCCGGGTATCTGATTGCTTTTAAATTAGTTTCTCAGAATGTTTATGTTTACCATCTGGTTTAGCTCACCAGCATGCTTGTGGCCCAGGAAAGCATAATGTAAGCATGGAATGTGTTACTTAGAGCTATCTGCCTCTTCCTTCTGTAAAGAATCCCTAGAGTTGACTTTTTTTTTCTCCCTCTCTTTTACATTTTTTTTTGAATGAGTAGTATTTTTAACACTCACATCTGGCACCCTTCAAATCCCGTTCTCAATCACATCTCAAAATGAATTGGTGATAGATTTAAATTTTCTGGAAAGGAGTCATACTGGTTGGTATTGGGGAGTTGTTGGGGGTGGAGCCATAGGGGAGTTGATGGGAGGGAATGGGGAGGATGGAACCCTGCTTAGGGAGAAGGGAAATGGTTGTTCTCCATGTACTCTCAGCCTTCTCCTGAATCACAGCATATCCCTGGATTCACGGGGCAAGATGATAACCCCCCTATGGATGCTTGCTCTCTCTCATCTCTTAGGTGAGGTCAACATTTGCCTCAGACTGCCTCAAAACACAAAGTATCCAAAGAAAAGGAATGAATCATTCTCAGGTAACAGAAAAACAGGTGTTTTGTTGACCATGAGCATTTTTTCTCTGTTTTCAATGGGGAGAGTGTATATAAATTGCTGGGAGTGCATTCCCATCCATCCTTTCATCCTCAAGCCCTTAGTCAAAGGAGTGTCCCTCCTATCCAGTCTGAATCCTTGTCTGCCCTGCACATAATTAGGTGCTGATAGATACATTGCTTCTTACTATTATCAAAGAATTTCCTGCCTGCTCATAGAGGAGATACATAGATAAAGACAAATAAAATTTCTGGGATTATTTAAATGTAACATACCATGTACTGTGGAATTAGTATGAGATTTCAGGCCTAGTAGAACCAGAAGGCCAAAGGTACTAGTCCAGCATTGTCATTAACTACTAATGAAACATGGGACAAATCACTTAACTTCCTTGGACCTCACCTCAGTTTCCTTATCTGTAAATGGGAGTTGGGTAACATGAGGTCACATCTTAATTTTTCAAGTCTCCCTGCTTTCTCTAGACACAAATTATTAGCTTATCTTCAACATAAGTGCCTTTCACTTACTCTGCTCTCAACTATCCATGGATATTACCATCAACCAATTAATTTGGGTGAGAAGAAAGAAGGTTATTGGTATGCTTGGGTACTTTGAAAGCTTCACCTCCACATCACCATGAGTGTACGCTCTCCCAAGGCAAGATCACAACTTTTCCCCACCTTTAATAGACAGCCTTGATGTACTACTGCAGCCAAAAAGAAAAATCATCACTTGTGACCAACCTTCTGAGGAGCCCCTCTGCACTGCCTGGTGCTTGGTGACAGACACAGACTCTGTGTCCCATACTCGAAGCCCTTTCAGCTTGGCTGCCCTTCCCAGAGCTTCTGCTCCCTTGGAATAGCCTTCTAGAGCCCAGAATCACCTCCACCCTACACCTGAGCAATGGAGGAGGTCTTCACCAGAGGACTACTGGCAGACAGACATCTTAAATAAGACTGAATCTATGCGGACCTCTGAAAAGGTGGCTGACCCTCATGGTGATGCAATGACAATTTAGTATTATTACCATGGCACTCTGGAGTGGGCGTTGATACCCAGTGGGTCTATAGTGAAGCCTTTCTGACCATTCCGTGTGGATGTCACCCAGATATAGCTCCTCCACCACTCTATTGCCTGGCAACTGCTGCAGCTTGTACTGCCTTTCCACTCGGATCAGGCTGAGCTCGTGCATGGCAAAGCCCAGGGCCCCAGTGCAGTCTCTCTCTGCCTTGGCACTCAGGAGTTCATAGACGGTCCCTGGAGTCCAGGACCTCCCCAGGGGGAGTAATTTACCACAGCCTCTGCCTCCTGTCTGATTGATGCGCTCTGCCATCTCCAGAATAGCACTCTGGCTGTGGAAGACGATGCCAACCTTGTGCAGGTGGTAGTTGGCTTCTGTGGCCCCTCGTGTTATCCAGGATGCCTGGCGAAGGCGGAGCTTGCCTTTGATGAGCAGAGAGTACGAGGGTTCCCGGCAGGAAGGGTCCTGGTAATAGAACTGGTATGCTTTAAACAAGCGGTTTGAGTAGAACATGTATGACCTGGTGAGGAACTCTGGCCCTGGACGCACTTCACAGCTATGATGGCATGTAGCATGGAAGAAAGAAGTGGGAAGGAACAAGAGAACATCAGAATGACCTAGGCTAGACTCATCATCCACTCTGTCTCTGATGGGAGGATTAAGAATATAGTTACCCTCCATAATAATAATAACAATAATAACAATAATAATAATAATGACTGACATTTATATAATGCTTTAAAGTTTGCAAAACACATTTCATATATTACTTCATTTGAGCCTCACAAAAACCCCTAAGAAGCAGGTGCTATCTCTTACAGATCAGGAAACTGAGATAGAGACAGGTTGGCCCAGGATCACAGCTCTTGAGGGTCTGAAGTAGGATCTGAATTCTGAGCCCAGCATTCTATGCACTACACTACCTAGTGACCTAACCAACTTCAAAGAGTTAGAGATTTGTCCCAAACATCCTAGTTTACTCCACCCTACACCTGAGCAATGGAGGAGGTCTTCACCAGAGGACTATTGGCAGACAGTAACCATTATAACAATCATTAATAATAATAACAATAACTAGAATTTATTCAGCATTTTTAAGGTTTGCAAAACAGTTTACAAATATGATTTAATTTTATCCTCAACAACCCTAGGAGATAGGTATTATTATTATCCTCATTTTACAGATGAGGAAACTGAGGCAAACTGAGGTTAAGTGACTTGCCCAGGGTCACACAGCTAGTAAGTCTCTGAGGTCGGATTGAAACTCAGGTCTTCCCAACTCCCAGGTCCAGTGCTGCTAACTAGCAGCCTCATTGATCTGCTTTCCACAGACTTGCCCAACACCTATGAGTTCCTTCTTCACCAGGTGAAGTGGAATGTATCTATCTATTCCTCTTTTAAGCTTTGATGCAGGCTCCTCCATTCTAATGTTCTGGGACAGGGTGAACAAGTTTATATTTCTTCTATCTAGATAAGGGTTCTTGTTGGTGGGATAAGTACTGGCTCAGGAGCCAGAAGGCTTCAGTTCAGTGGCTTTGCTCTGTGCTACCTGTGTGACCTTGTTGAGAAGTCACTTAACCTCTCTCAAATATCAGTCTCCTCATCTGTAAAATGAAAGGGTTGGACTAAATGACCCCTGGGATTGCTTCCCAGCCTAGATCTACAATCCTACAAGTTATTGAAATTAAGCAGAGGGTCCAAGCCTGCAGTAAAATAATTTAGCATGCCCTGTGGACCAGGAAGCAGCTCCAAGGTAATACTTCCTCTCCCCATCATTCCCCCTCACCTTCCTTCAGCTTGGGGGGAAGACAGAGAAGGTGTGTATGGCAGACACAGAATGTTCATACAGCATTTTTTGCACATGGCTACCCAGGTCCCTGACAGCCCAGTCACCCACAGCTCTCCTCCTGGATGTCCCACAAGAAAGAACCTTAGCCTGATACCCCCAGGCTATTCTCTGACCCTGATGATGCAATGTCCTTCCGCACAGATAAAACTGAGCAAGACTACATTGCATACTTGAGAACAAAAAGGTAAAGAATTGGTCCATCTAAGGCTTTAGGGTTCGGTGGCCCACTTGAAAGACTGAAATATCTAACTGGCTACAAAAATCAGATTTTAAGGCAAAGTGGGATGGGCATAGTTAAGCCCTGGACGGGGAATCTCTCTAGAGACAAAGATTTGAGTCCAAGATCTGCCTAAATAGTCATGTGGCCTTGGGCAAATCGCTGGGCCCATGTTTTCCCACCCGTAAAATGAAGGGAGAGGAACACATCATTTGGAACCTTCCAGCTCTGGGGCCTGCATGAAAGGGACCAGTAACATGCCCGCAGGACACTAGCTTACTGAGCCGCTGTTCTCAGGCAGGGCTCCTCAGGCTTCTGTTTCCCTTTTCCCATAGAAGAACGCAAAGGACAAATAGCAGAACAGGGGTTCTTAACTCCTGAAACTTTAAAAAATGTATTTTGATAACTAGATTTCAATATAATGCATTGTCTTTGTAATCCTAAGTATTTTATTTTATTTTATGCATTTAAAAACAATACCCAAAGGGCTTCCTGATACAAAAATGATAGAGGCTCTGTACTAGAGGCTCCCTTCCAGTTTTCTAAGCTGTGAATGAAGTCCAGGACCGTCTTGAAAGTCCGACCCTCATTCAAAGTGTTGAGGCCATAACGAGGGACTGTGCCACTGAAAGCCTGGTTTTGTACCAAATATAGTAGTGAGGACGTAGTATGAATTTTCAGGGCATGAGGTGATTTGAGGGCAGAGCCCAGCAGGCACCAGGGAGAGTTTGTGATCTTGCTGGGAGAGGAGGCATCTTTACCTCGTGGAGATCCAGTGACCCTCCAGCCTTGGAGGTAGCAGCGCAGTAATTCTGGCTCCGTCCTGAAGATGGCGAAGTTGGTACTGACACTGGGATTCCCATTGCAGCCGGCCTGAGCCGTTCCGCTGGCTCTGGAGAGCAGCCCCGTCCCGATGCTGGATTCCAGATGTGCAGGCTTAAAGCAAGACAGATGTATTAGGAGTCACAGTCCTGGCCTCCCCTTCCCATGCAAGTGGGGGGCGGGGGGAGGGAGAGTTTCAACTTGCCTGGTTTTGCACTATCAAAGAGAGACGGCTGTTACACTGGGGGAACCCAGGAATCTTTTCCAGACACACTCAGATTAAGGCTGAATGTCCCCTATAACTATCAAGTGGCTTCCCCAGCCTGACATAGGATGGACGGGCAGAAAGCATCACGTAACTCACAGATATTACATAAGAACGAACCATCTGGGTATTCCCTACTCTGATACAATTCAGAATCCCTCCGTGCCTCAGACTACTTAAGTTTTCTGAGGCCAAAAGAATTCGTTACCTGGTGGTTAAGTCTCTCTCAATGAAGCTAGGTTTTCAGGGATGGGCACCGACAATCCAGCACTGGGGTCTATAAGACCCGCGAAATCTTGTGATCCAATTTCTCCCAATGTATTTGTACATAGTAAAAAGATTCCGTTTGTGTTGCTCATCAATACATGACCTTCATACTTCTCTCTACAATTTTTTTCTAAACCAGACTTGTGATTTCATTGGTATACAGAGTTCCCCTAGAAGGAAATTAGTTGGCACAGTGAGCAGAGTGCTAAGCCTGGAGTAAGGAAGTTCTGAGTTTTCAAGTCCATCCTCATATACTTACTAGCTGTGTGACCCTGGGCAAATCACTTAACTGCTGTCTGCCTCAGTTTCCTCGTCTGTAAAATGGGAGTGATGACAAATAATAGTACCTACCTCACAGGGTTGTTATGAGGATAAAATGAGTTAATATTTGCAAAGTGCTTATCTAAATGCAAGCTATTAGGAAACTCCCTCTACCAACGCAGAAGCACATAAACAACTGTTCTGCAATTTATAATCTTAGCGCATTTGCCTGGGGTCATTAAGAGGTCAAGTCTTGCCCAGGTTCCCTCAGCCAATAAGAGGCAGAGCTTGACCCCAGATTTTCCTGACTCAGGCTGGTTCTTTACCACTACACCAAACTGCATCCAAACATGTAAGTATTCCTTTGCACATGATGCCTGAAATTCTCCTAACAGAGAGACCATAAACTCGAGTTGCAGAATAAGACATACATTTTCCTGCACGGCAAGTGTGGGAATTTGTTTTACTTGGCTGCATATTTCTTAAAATGCTCTCTCACTCTCACTCTCTCTCTCTCTCTCTCTCTCTCTCTCTCTCTCTCTCTCTCTCTCTCTCTCTCTCTCTCTCTCTCTCCACTCCCCCCTCCCCCAATTTGGCATGGGATGGGTTTGAGTGGGGGTGGAGGTGTTAGGGATAGGGTTATCAGAAAAAAAAGTCAGTGTTTTTTTTTAAATACAAAAAGAACCAGAGTCACTAAATTATATGGTGAATTTATTATATACTTAAAAGAAAACTTCAATAGAAACTTGAACTTTCCTGATGTGTATATGGAAGTGCTCATTTTATTTGGTGTTTATTAATTTCAGAATTTTAAAAAACAATTAAAAAAAATGTTAAGGCCAGGAATACTCCTATTTAAAAAGCACTTGTGTTATCTAGGATGTATAACACATTGACCCATTAACTCTTCAGCAGAGTGCCCTGAGAGAATAGGATTTGGAATAGATACATTTTGATGAAAATAAAGAGATCAGGAGGAAAAGAACAAGTCTCCAGTATTGCTATAGTGAGTACAAACCCCTAACATTTCTGCTGGTCCTTTATATCCTCCCCTTTGAATCTTTTCCCCCTCTTTTTGTTCCTTCCTCCCTCACACTCAATCCTTAGGACCCTTTTGTTCCTATATTTATCATTTATTAGTGTGAATGAAAAAAATTTTTTTGTTTGGTTTTTTTTTTGGTTAGGCAATGGGGTTTAGTGACTTGCCCAGGGTCACACAGCTAGTAAGTGTTGTGTGTCTGAGTTCGGATTTGAACTCAGGTCCTCTTGCTTCCAGGGCAGGTGCTCTATCTACTGCACCACCATGAATGAAAATCTTATAGAACCTTATGTTCATAGGATAATAGCTGAAAGGCCCTCAAAGGCTACCTTATCTAACCTCTTCATTTACATCTAAGGAAACTGAGGCCCAGAGAGGTTAATTGATTTAACTAAGGTCATACAGCACAAGAGACAATATTTTAGCCAAGGTCCTCTGGCTATGGAGTCAGCACTTTTCCTCCAATACCATGTTGCTTCCCAGTCATAGAATCATAGTATCTTAGAATCTCAAGGTTAGAAGGCACCTCAAAAGTCATCTAATCAGAGCTATAACTAGAGATTTGGCACTTAGAGAAAGCAGCAACAATTGAAAGTCACAATTCAAAAATAATGTAGGAAGCAATTTAAAACAAATTTAGTTTAGTAGGAGGGGGTATCATTTGGTATGGTGGTTTCTACACTACTGAAGGAGTGCATGGCTTAAATTTTTTTTTACCCTCTAAATTTTGGTACCCTAGAACAAAGCCTGGGTTATTCTGACCTCCATATCTAGTTCCACCTCCTTCTCAATGAAGGAATACCATCAACAACAGCATCTTTAGTAGGCTTGAACTGTTCTAGGGACAGAGAATTCATTACTGTGACCCTTTTCCACAATGAGATAAATCCCACAGGATGTAGATACTCCCACTCCTTGTTAACACAGACAAGGGTCTTTAAAAAACCCCAAAGGCAGTGGATACACAGGTATACCTAAGAAACATGTGCTCACAGATGCTACCAAATTGTACAACAATGTAATAGTTCCATGGAACAGCTAAATGAATGATCATACCATTCTTTCCCAGTGGTATTTTCACTGTGAATGTGATTTCTTGCTGGGGAACACAAAGCTGTATACCCTGGTCAAGAGATTTTAGGTGATTGTAATAAGTAGGTGAAACAGTCTGAGGCTGGCCTTCTCTAGACTTCTACCCTGCCTTAAGATAAGACCTGCCTTACTCCTGAAGGTACTGGAAGCCTGGTGATGTGGGAAAGGCGAGAGAGGAAAGATAGGAAATGGATCTGGAAAAGGAGATAGGGGAAGAGCCCCAATATAAACTTCATTATTCTACAATCATATGAGTATAGTATTTAGATCTAGATGGAATAACTCGGATCACCTACCCTAGTTCACTTATTTTACAAGTAAACCAAGAACCCCAAAGATTAAGCTATTTATCTAAACCGTATTTCCCCAAGGGCACGTAGGTGGTAAGAAGTCAAGCAACCATGATTCAAATCCCAATGACAGGATCATAGATTTAAAGATGTAAGACATAAAAAATCATCTAGCTAATATCCTCATTTTACAAATAAGACAAGTGAGTCCCAGAAAGGTAAAGTATCTTACCCTAGGTCATACAGGTTAGGCTTAGAACCTAGTTGTCCTGACTCCAAATCCAGTGTTCTTTCCACATGACCTTCTAATTCACATACTTATTTCATATTTTTTTCTAAGCCCATTTCTGAGATAGGCTTTGCCTTGCCTGCATGCAACATTCACACAAAATCTACGTTGGAAGAGACTTTGGAGAGCAGCCAATCCAGCCCATAGCTGGGGAACAAAAATCCCCAACATTCCTGACAAGACGTCGTCTAGCCTTCAGCTGAAGGGCTCTAATGCTGGAGAACCCACTACCTCCCAAGGCAACCAGTTCCACTTTTGAACAGCTGTATTGGTTAGGTAATGTTTCCTTCCATCAAGCTTAAATCTGCATCTCTACCACTTCAGCCTGTTATTTCTATTTCTGTCCTCTTTGGGCCAAGCAAAGCAGACTGAATAACTCCTACAGGACATCCCTTTATGTACTTGAAGACAGCTATCAAAATAAGTTAGTCAGTCAAAAAGCATTTATTAAGCACCTACTATGTGCCAGGCACTGTGCTAAGTGCTAGAGATGCAAAGAGGCAAAAGACAGTCCCTGCCCTCAAGGAGCTCATAATCTAATGGGGGAGACAACAAGCAAACAAATATGTATGAAAAAAGCTATATACAGAATAAATAGGAAATAATTAAGAGGGGAAGGCACTAGAATTAAAACGAGTTAAGACAGACTTCCTATAGAATGTGGGATTTTAATTGGGACTTGAAGGAAGCCAGGGAAGCCAGGAAGCAGAGATGAGGAGGGAGAGCATTCTAGGCACGGAGGACCTCATGTACAAAAGCACCAAGATGGGAGTAGAATGTCGTATGTAGGAATGGCAAGACCAATTTGGCTGGACCGTAGTTTGCCTAAAGAACAATGATGGAATAGGACCCTACAAAAAAGGCTGGAGCCAGATTGTGAAGGGCTTTAAATGCCTGAAGAGCTTATATTTTTTCTTAGATGTAATAAGGATCCCCTGGAACTTATTGAGCAAAGGAGTGGCATGGTCCCTTTCACTTTTAACAGTCTATGATTTTTTTTTTGCCTATGTTTTCTTTTACAACATGACTAATATGGAAATATGTTTTACATGACTGCATGTGTACAACCTACATCAAATCACTTGCCTTCTCAACAAGGGTAGAGGGGAAAAAGGAGGAAAAGAGAGAATTTGGAACTCAAAATTTTAAAAAATAAATGCTCAATTTTTTTTACACATGATTGGAAAAAAATAAAATATTTTTTAAAGAACAGTCCGTGAATCTTTTTAGTCATAAAACTGACCACTAGTTTCATCTGACCAAAAGCTAAGTTTATTCATAAAAATATTACCTTCCCTGAGCTTGCTTCATGCTATATTTTCCTTTAAAATGGGCCAAGTATAAATTTTACTCCCCTCACCTTGCCATTAATATTGGTGATGATAGCAATTATCCCTTGCACTAGACAGCCATCTGTTTACAAAGTTCTTCCCCACCTATTATCTTATGGGAGCCCCAAATCATCCCTGGATGGATTACTGGTTTGACAGGGAAGAGCTGTTGGGTTGATTCTTTGGATGATTTTCATTTGAGGCAATGAGAGAGACAGAGATAGACAAAGACAGTGATAGAGATAGGTAGAGATGGAGACAGAGACAGAAACATTGTATG